AATGAATAAAAATATAACAGAACATACATAATGTTAATATTCTGTCTTCTAAGTCAACATTCAGCCTGCAAGGATCTTTGTTGTTGATCCCTCCTTCATGGTTTAGTTAGTGGCTCCATTTCTATTTGAGTTTGACACCATTAGGCCAGTAGGTGGCGCAGTGGATAGAGTGCAGGGAATGAAGTCAGGAAGATTTATCTGGAGTTCAAATCTGGCCTCAGACACTTACTTAGCTGTGTGACCATGGGCAAGTCACTTAACCCTATTTGTCTAAGTTTCCTCATCTGCAAAATGAGCTACAGAAGGAAATGGCAAACCAGTCCAGTATCTTTACCAAGAAAATCCCAAATGGGGTCAGGAAGCATTAGACATGATTGAACAACAACAAGGCACTTGGTCTGGGTGATGGATCTTCAGATAGGTTCGTAGTGCTAAATCCTATAGTCTCATGTGCAGCTTTAGTTTCCTGAAAGCTGGTACAGAGAATCTAAATAGGTTTCAGAAAAATTTTGAGAATTGCCTGGATTATTGAGGGAGATAGAAATATCTAGAATTCACTTCCGACTATTTTTTTGTTTTCCTCCACATAGATAGATAGACAGATAGATAGATAGACACCAAATAATACGCATTTACTAAGCACCTTCTATGTGTCAGGCAATGTGCTAAGCACTTTAAACATATTATGTCATCTTATCCTCCCAAGTTTGGGAAGTAGGTGCTACTATTAGCAGGTAGGTGTTACAGTTGATAGACTGCCCAGCCTGGGGTCAGGAGGACCGAGTTAAAATTTGGCCTCAGACACTTAACTAGCTATTGTGAGCTATGTGAGCATGGGCAAAGTTACTTAGCCCTGCTTGCCTCAGTGTCTTTATTTGTAAAATGAAGATAATAATATCACTTTATTGTGATATAGGGAGAAGATTCTGGGAAGATGGTAGAGTAGGTCAGAAAACTTTTGACTCTCCAAATTTCTGCCACAGAAAAAGATAGAACATTGCCTCAGAGGGAATGTAGAACAGCACAAATAAACAAGTCTGGGTAAAGCATTTGTCCACCTAAGACAATTCAAGAAGACCCCAGGAAAGACCTGACCTCCAGGTGTAGAGATTCAGCCTGAATGAAGTGCAAACACCTCCAGGCCAACTCTTTGGAATCAACAAACAGCAAGCCCTGGGGGCACCTGAGGTTGGAAGACAATCTCAGCCTTAGAAACTTTCATCTCAGGACAGTGTAGGGTCTAATGGCTGAGTATGGGAATATTGAAGGACCTTCCACTATTGAGGGACACCAAGCACATCTGTGCTGACCAGGCACTCTCCAAGGCTGGGTTGCCACTGAGAGGGAGAAGAATCTAGCACACACCTGGTGAGTGCAGTAGCAGAGGGGGCAGAGACCCTGCTGGCTGTGGGCACTTGCAGGAGACGAGTCCCTGGTTTTAGTTCCAGGGCAAAGAGGACAGCTGTAGTTTGCAGCCACCCAAGGGAACACAGGGAGTAAGATCCTTAGTGGGACAGAATGATGGGAGTTCTAGCCATGGTTTAGGAGTGGAAAAGAGAGCCCAAGGCTGAGCCCCAGGACAGACTTCAGAAAATAACAGGAAGGAGGACCCGAGGCTTGGGGCATTATTTCCCATACCTTGGGACTAGAACTTGATCACACTAATAACTGTCAAAAACAAGACAAATAAAACAAACAAACAAACAAAAAATAAATAAATAAATGAATGAATGAATGAATGAATGAATGAATGAATGAATAAATAAATAAATAAATAAATAAATAAATAAAAATGAGAAAGCAAAGGAGAAAGAACTCAATCATAGATAGCTACTATGGGGATAGAGAAAATAAAGATTCATATTCAGAAGGAGATAATGGAGCAAAAAAAGCCACTCCATTTTCAATGAGAAATATCAAATGATCTTAAGCACAGACTTCTTGAAAGCACTTAAAAAGGACTTTAAAAATCAAACAAGAGAAACAGAGGAAAAATTAGGGAAAAAAAGAGCAATCCAAGAAAATCAAGAAAATTATGAAAAGAAAGTCAATTTACTAGAAAATAATTCCTTGAAAACTAGAATTAGGCAAAGGGAAGCTAATGATGTTCTAAGACACAAAGAAATAATAAAACAAAATCAAAAGAATGAAAAAATAGAAGAGAATGTGAAACATCTCATCAGAAAACAACTGATCTGGAGAACAGATTGAGGAGAAATGAGATCAAAATAGTCAGACTACCTGAAAATTATGGGAAAAAAAAGAATCTTGATATAGTGTTATAAGAAATCATCAAGGAAAACTGCCCCAAAGTTCTAGAACAAGAAGGCAAAGCAGAAACAGAAAAAAAAATCCACCACACAACCTGAAAGAGATCCCAGGGGAAAACTTACAGGAATATCACAGCCAAGTTTCAAAGCTTCCACATTAAGCAAAAAATATTGGAAGAAACAAGAAAAAGAAAATTTAAATATCATGGAGCTGTGATAAGGATTACATAAGACCTAGCAGCTACTTCGTTGAATGACTTTAGGTCTCAAAGAGCTATATTTCATAGAGCAAAAGAACTGGGGTTGTGACCAAGGGTAACTTACCCAGCAAAGTTGAGTATGATCTTGAATTTAAAAAAAAAGTACATTTAACAAACTGAAAGACTTTCAGGTATTTCTGACAGAAACAGCAGAACTTAAGGGAAATTTTGACATATAACATCCAGGAGAAATATAAGGTTAACATTAAGGACCAATTATATCAAACTCAATAAAGTCAAATACTTTACTCCTTATATATAAAAATATTATCAATTCTTTTGTGACTGCCATTTTTATTCAGGTAGTTTGAAAGAAAGCCTTGGGCTGAGCTGAGTATGATGGCGTAATTCTAAAAAAAACTGTATAGGGAGAGATAAAAAGGAGCAATTATCTCATACAAATGAGGCAAATAAAAGGGGGGAAATGATACAGAAGAAGCTAGTAGGGAGGAGGGTGGGTAGTGATGAAATCTTATTCTCATCAGGAACTAAAGAGGGAACAACATATATATCTCAAAGGGTATAAAAGTCTGGTAAATTCAGAAAGAAACAAGAGGGCAAGGGGATAGGGTGAGGGGAGAGAATGAGGGAGGGATTCTTGGAGGGGTGGGTATGTTAAGGAACAAGAGGGCAAGGTAGTGGGGAGAATTAAAGCAGAGGAGTGAGGAAGGATGGGAATAGGGTGAGAAGAACATTGATGAAAAATAGGAAAAGAGGAAAATATACAAGTAATTATAGCTTAGAATGTGAATAGGATGAATTTACCTATAAAATGAAAACTGATAGTAGATTAAACATTTGAATTCAACAATATGTTGCTTTCAGAAAATGCTGTAAACATGAAAGATACACGCAAACATAAAATAAAGGTCAGGAGTAGAATTTATTATATTAAAAAAACAGGGGTAGTAATCATGATCTCAGATAAAATTAAATCTAAAATAGATTTAATCAAAAGAGAAAATAGTGAAACTACACTGCCAGCCTTTTATTCAATATTGTTTTAGACAATTTAAAATAAGTAGAAAATATAAAATACCTGAGAGTATACCTGCCAAAACAGACACAGGAACTATACAATCATAAACATTAAAAAAAAACTTTTTATACAAATAAGGTTAGATCTAAATAATTGAAGTAATATTTATTCTTCATAAGTAGGAAAAGCCAATGTAATAAAAAAAAAAGGTCATTTCACCTAACTAATCTATTTATGTAAAGCCACTCCAATTAAATTACTAAAAATTAGTGAGTTAGGAAAAATAATAAGACTTTAAACTATATTATAAGATGAGAGCATTGCTGAAGTATAAAATGGATAATTTTGATTATTTTAAATGAAAATTTTCTTGCATAAATAAAACCTATGCAGTCAAGAATAGAAGGAATGCAGAAAATTGGGAAAAAACTTTCATAGACAATCTCTCAAAATGTTATTGGGTTGGAATGTTGCTGTGTAGAACATGATGAGCTGGTTGAGTTAGAAAAACATGGAAAGACTTGGACTTATGAAGGAAGATTCTATCTACCTTCAGAGAAACAGATGACAAGTGAAAACAAGCAGAATACAGTCTTACATATATGTATATGAGTGTGTATGTGTATGTATGTATATGTTTATAGATATCTATGTATATGTATATAATATATATGCATGTATGCATACATATGTGTATATATGCATATGTGTGTATCTGCACTTAATTGTAGCCTCATTGGGGTGGGAGTGGGGAGGGAAAGGGGAGGGAAAAAAGCAAAGTAAAAAGTACACAGCAGAGAACAAAAGAAAAACCTATAAGCAAGCAAAGAAAAGCTGGACAGCTTTGAAAACAATGTGTGTATTTATTATGTAGGTTTTCTTGAAGTGGAAATTTATTGTTTTATATTGAGTCCTCTCATGTTCTTCTGTGTACATGACAATATTTTTTTTTCTTTTCTTATTTTGTATTAAGTTTAAAATAAATTTAAAAAACTTAAAAAGAAAAGCAATTAAGACAGTGCCTGGCACAAGGTAGGGCCATATAAATGTTAGTTGTTATTATTATCACTACTTTACAGATGAGGAAATTGAGGCAGATAGAAGTTGAGTGACTTGCCCAGGGTCACCCAACTAGCAAGTGTCTGAGGCAATATTTGGACTTAAGTCTGCCTGCCTCTAAGTCCAGGGCATGACACTCATGGCACCCGTAGTACTACCTACTTGTCTCTAGACATTTACTTATTGAATGAATGAATGAATGAATGAATGAATAACCTGTTAAGACAATATCAGAGACCCTGATTGTCTTGAACCATCCCTTGAGGCCCTAGATAGACTCTGATCCTGGAGGTAAATGTAGACTTGAACTCAAGGACATTTCCAACAGACTTAGGTAAATAAGGGGATAGTTAAGAAACCTTCTCTCTTTTAGCACTTCTTAATGCCTTATTCCTTTCCCCTAATCCCTCTGTCTTTGTCCTATCTTTGCAGGTGATTTGATGAATATTTCATAATAGCTGGGAACCCAGGATCCTGTGGATAGGCCATGATATCTTCAAATCACACAATCCAGGAACCCCTTGTCTTCTTTCTCCTGGGCATTCCAGGCTTGGAGTCAATCCATCTATGGCTCTCCATACCTGTGTGCTGCTTGGGTGTGGTTACTATTGTGGGTAATATAACCATCCTGGCTGTGGTTGCCACTGAGCCTGCCCTGCATAAGCCTGTGTACTTCTTCCTCTGTATGCTCTCCGCCATCGACCTGTTTACATCAGCCACCACATTGCCTAAACTTCTGGCCATCCTGTGGTTTGGGGCTGGGCATATTGCTGCTGCTGCCTGCCTGGCCCAGATGTTCTTCATTCATGCCTTCTGTATGATGGAGTCCACAGTGCTGCTAGCCATGGCTTTTGATCGTTATGTTGCCATCTGTGACCCACTGCGCTATGCCACCATCCTTACTGACACAGTCATTTCTTGGATTGGCTTGGCTGCTGTGCTACGTGGTTCACTGCTGATGTTTCCCTGCCCCTTTCTTATTGGGCGCCTGAGCTTCTGCCACAGCCATGTGATTCCACACACATATTGTGAACATATGGCTGTGGTGAAGTTGGCTTGTGGGAACACCATACCCAACCATGTGTATGGTTTGATAGTAGCATTGCTTGTCATCGGGGTTGACTTGCTCTGCATTGGTCTCTCTTATGCACTCATTGCACAAGCTGTACTCCGTCTCTCATCCCGTGAAGCCAGAGCTAAGGCCCTGGGAACCTGTGGCTCCCACATCTGTGTCATCCTCATCTCCTACACACCTGCCCTCTTTTCCTTCTTTACTCATCGCTTTGGACACCATGTCCCACTTCACATCCATATTCTCCTGGCAAATGTTTACCTGCTGTTCCCAGCAGCACTCAACCCCATTGTCTATGGTGTTAAGACCAAAGAGATCCGAGATCGAGTAGTTAGGGTGTTTTTGAGAGGCCAGAGTTCTGGGGACAAAGGAGTAGGGTGATTTGGGGGCAGGAAGTTAGATAACTAAACATCAGCACCCTCAAGAGAAGATGCTTCCAAAAACTCAGGAAAAGCAATGAGTAAGATCAGATTTTGGTATGAGAAAAAAACACCTTCCCAAGAGCCAGCTGGGGCCATTCCGGCAAACCCTGGCCAAAATCATTGTCCAAGGATTCACTCTCCTACCTCTCTCTCCTCTTTGGGAAAGGACACACAGGGTAGGTTCCCCACCTGTATCCCCAGATTACTTGCAGTCGTTGGTGTCACTACCTTACAGAGGGACTCTCTCTCATGCTCTAGACTGTGACATAACTTATTTGTTTACTTGTATACTGTCTACCTATTTCTCTGGACATGAGGTCTAGATATCTACCTTTTCCCTTGATCCGTATAATCTTCACTTGGATTTCAACTTCATGCTTCTACTGATGCATCCCTTAGAAATCCACTCCTCTGCTCTCCTACCAATCATCTATGCCCCATGGCTTCCATTTATGTACTGTCCCTGCCAGTAGAAATTTTCTGATGGGAATCATCCAATGTGGTTGTAAGATCATCAGTCAAAGAATATCAGAGCTGAAGGCATTCTTAGCAATTATCCAGTGCTCTTGTTGTACCGAGAAATCAGCGAGCGAGACCCAGACGTAATTTAAAATGTGGATTTATTAGCACGCGGCTGCAAGCAGTATGCGCATCCAAATGAAGGAGCCCCAATCAGAGGTCGAGCTAGGGTTTATATGGAAAAGAGCATGGGAAAGAAATGCCAAGAACACTGATGAGGTAATCCAAAGGTGCAGGTGTCTTTGGAGACTATGGATGGGAAAGTACAGGGAGTATTCCAGACAGGGAGGGGGATGGATATTTGAAGTCTGGCAGGAGGAAAAGTCCTTGGGCTGGCCAAGGACACCCCTCTTCCTCTGTCTTGATGAGAGAATGCTCTGCAACAAAGGAAAGGTTTCTCACAACTAAGGAATTGGGAGGCTTCCAGAGACATGATCTGAGGGCTAGGGCCTGAGCAGCCAGATAAGGGTCGTACTGAGGCCCATGCATTTATAACTGCTAGGCACAGTGTCCTTGGGCTGGGGAGTGGTTGTCAGAGACAATGTTTCTGAGGGTAGGGAGACATTTGGGGCCCAAGTATAAGCACAAGCACCCGAGCACCCCATCATTATAGGTGAGGGATCAAACAAACCAGACCAGGTGTCCTGGTCTCTGGTATAAATGTAATTATCTAAAGCAATTATATTGCAAGCTTTCTTATCCATTTGCACTGGAGGTATGGGCTGTGCTAAGCTATGCAAGAATACATTTCACTATTGTTTAGATTTAGGAGGAAAGAGGTCTGGGGCAAGGTTAAGCAGCAATTTCTGCCTTCCATGGCCCAAAGGGCCCTACTACCCAAATGGTAAAATAATGTTCTGCATTACACTCTCCTTTTATGGATGAAGAAATTAAGCCCCATAGAAGCTAAATGGCTTGCTCAAAGTCATTCAGGAATTTATATGTAGAGAGTCAGGGCTACACTCTAGATCCACCTCCAGCATGAAACAACATAAATGCTATCAGGGAGAGTTCAACAAGTCCATCTCTTCATATCTGGAATAAGGTCATTGTCCCCCATTAGACTATCTGTATTTACTTTCCAAATCCCTCCCACCCTCCCATCCATCTTTCCCAAGTGTGGGTTTCTCTGGGGTATGTCTGTCCTACTCTTTCCCAGATGTAAGGTGTCAACAGAACATTACCAAAGCTTAGCATGTCTGCAGGATGTATGAGGCCAAGCAGGGAAATATTAGGACAAATTATCAATGGCCACAAAATTCTCATTTTTCAGCTTCAATTTCTAAGCCTCGTGAGGTTCTAATTTACTCTGAAGTTACTTCCTTCCTAACTTACGCAAGCATACATACAGATGTGCATTCATTCACACACATGCACAGTGCATACATGAATAAGGAAAGAGGGAAGGAAAAAAGAATTTATTAAGTACTTACTTTTTGTCAATTATGTAGATTGCAAATACACATAGTCAGTGAATCACCACCACATTCATTCTTTGAAGGCACCAAGAAAAATCAGAAATACTTTGTTTTCACTAGACTATCTAGGAAGCTTATTTCCCTCAGTCTTCACAGAGAGTCAAAAGGGCTTCTTTAAATAAAGGAGTTTGGGGGCAGGTAGGTGGTGCAATGGGTAGAGCATTGGCCCTGGAGTCAGAAGAACCAAATCCAGCCTCAGACACACAACACTTACCAGCTGTGTGACTGTGGGCAAGTTACTTAACTCCAGTTGCCTCACCAAAAAATAAATAAATAAAGTTCCATTCCTTCTTCACTGTTTTTTCTTTCCCCCTCTTGGTGTTTATGTCACTGTTATATCTGTTCTTGCATTAGCTTGATTTGTCTTTCTTGTTTATTCTAACCCAACATCCAGAAATGCTTCAGCTTGTGTACAATTTGGTCACCAAGCATTCAGTCTTTTTTAATTTTTCTGTGTATAGTGAGACTCTGAAGATTTTCTGATGGCCAAAATAGAGTACCTAAACCATTGTTTTCCTTTTCTTTCAGCAGATATAAATGATAAATTAATAATAATAATGGTGGGTTACAAAGGCAGAGAATAGGTGTGACTCTTCATCTTCATTTTAGTTGAGAGGATTTGGGGAATGAAAGGGGCTCACAGCCCAATATTCCCATAATTCTTGTGCTTTTAATTTTTGTTTTTCGCAGAGTTTTCTTTTTGTCCTAACTATGAGGGAGTTAAATGAAAGCTATGGTAATTTCTGACCTTAGTCGTATAATTTTTGGAGACAATGAATTTTGAATCAGCACAGGACACAAGGAATCAAAAGAAGAGATTTAGCTTTAGCTTGAGTCTTTCCAATTTAGCTAGGTGACTATGTACTAAAAGAACTGCCAGTCTCCTCACTTTACCCTAAAACAAAGGAAATGAAATGATCAGCAGATAACTCTGGAGTCAAGAAGTCCAGAGAGAGAAACAATGGCTATAAAAAAAAAAGCTGAGAGACACTGAACAAATATGATGCATCTAGAAGGAAGCAGAGATTTAATACCCATGAATTCTAGAGTTTTGGTTTAGAGCACTGATCAGAAGGCCTCAATCTTATGATACCTTTTCTGGTGGTCCATATGCGAGAGAAGATACAACGGTGGTTCAATTATTGACACCAGGAATTAAAACAAACAGCCAAAAAAAAAATCCCATAATCTTGCCCTTGGGTTGTTCTGCCTAGCTTTTTTTTTTAGCTACAATTTAATTGATTATGTTAGCTTATGACCTCTGACTAAGATTAAAGGGTCATAATCTTTTCCTTATCAGGAGAAGCTATTTAGCCTCAGCATTCCAATAGACCGAATATTTCAGTTAAGTGACTCTGAAGAAAAGTTCAGAAACTGTTGTCAGGAAACAACAACCAGATGCAACCACGAGACCAGCAGAGCGCTTGATTGAGAGCAGTATGACATCAGGACAGCTAGATGGTGTAGTGGATAGAGCATTTGAACTCTTCCTGAGTTCAAATCTGGCCTCAGATACTTAATATCCTGCACAAGTCACTTAATCCTATTTGCTTCAGTTTCCTCATCTATAAAATGAGCTGAAGAAGGAAATGGCAAGCCACTCCCATATCTTTACCAAGAAAACCCCAAATGGAATCATGAAGAGTTGGACAAGACTGAACAACAAAATGATGACATCACCAGTGGAAACTGACAATCCTATAGTTTTGGAGGTTGGTGCTCTGGCCACATGAGTTCCCTTTACATGTACCCTCCATGAGTGGTCATCAATTACATGTGTTTTCTCTGGGTGTACCCTCCTCACTCATGGTGTGGTTACATGTGGAAGAAGTGTACCTTATCCGTGTATGAGGGAGGAGATAGATTTTCCTTTCATTTTATTTGCTATCCTATTAAATAAATGCCTTTTATTTGAACACATGTATCTTCTGACTAGTTTATGAAAGGTAAACATTTATGAAGGCTTGTGAGTGTGGAAAATGCTTAATTATATTATTCGGAGCCTTTATCAATCGTTATACTGTTTAAATCTAGTTTTGTAAGGCTAGAAACCATCTAACCCAAAAGTTTATAGTAGAGGTCAGACCAGAGACACTCGGGTGGAAGTTACATGGCTTCCGGAATGCTTAGATCCCACCCAGGTCCTGTGTTTTGGGTCCACTCAGTGCTTGAAGTCCCCAAATTTGAATGTTTATGTTTCTCAATAGGCCTTAATTTGCACATTTATGCTTACTGATATAATCTCAGTGGATTTTGCCTAGGAACTTCCCTCTCTGCAAAATTGCTTAACTGTGTAAGCGGTACCTCTATGTGTGTGTGCCTAGGGATACATTTGTCTGGACCCTATGTGATGCAGACTTTCCTGACACTAGATGAGAGGGAGCCACACCCTTTTCAGCTGGCTCTCCCTTGCCAAATAACCAACAGAGTACCTCAAAACTGGGGTAACTTTTCCGGGGGACACACATATGAGATGGAACACTCAAGGGTTGTGTGTGGAAACTTCTATAAGCTTTTCCACAAACTGACCATGTTAATCGTCAGACTTATTGACGTGACTCCAGATGGGGCTAATTTCCCCCTTGCTTCAATGTAATGTAGTCTGATTTTAACTTGCCCTTGTTGACTGGGTATAGGCCCTGGAAACGATGACCCCCCACCCAACTTCCTTGAACAGTCTCACATGGCCAAGTCTCTGAAGCTCTCCTGAGGTTATAATCCTTTCCACTGGCCTTTCATTGTGGCCCTTATTGTCTGTACCTGACCCCACCCTAGATCCCCACCCACTCCTTAATTCCATCTAGACCCCTTCTGCTTTCACCTTGGGCACCCAGCCCTTCCAGGTCATTCTCTGTTACTTCCCAATCACCCTAGCCTATTGACCACTCCTAGATCCTTCCCACAGTCCTTCTGTATATAAGGTCCATCTTGCCCCCCATTAAATGGCTCAGATTCTTAAAAT